GACTTTAACTGGACTAGCCCCCCCCCCTTTTTTTTTATATTATTTCATGTGCTCGCAGAGTAAGAAATTAAGTTACGGAATGAGATATTCGAATCCCCTACTATTTAGCTATTCTTTGTATTATCGAAAACTGCTTCGTATGTATCGCCACATTTTCAGCCGCGATAAACTGTCTTGTCGCTGATGGCAAGAAATTTGCCCATCCACTCCATCATCTTGGTAAGAGAGAAAGTGATTTGCCATTGATTGCGATCGACTCTTTCCGTCATATGTATCTATTTCCAAACACAAACGACATGACGTGAGTCCTGAATATTGATATTCTCATTCTATCTCGAAATACTTCTAAAGATATGTGTTCAGCCATCCAGGAAAACTACGTCAGTTCGTGCTTGATCTCCACAGTGGCAAGTTGCATCGAGAGTTCCATCATGGTCCAGATCCGGTCGTTCAGCAGGTCACTGTCCAACCGGATGAAATAGTTAGATATCAAAAATATATTCAGAGTGGTATTCCGCCTGGTTTTTGCATGGTTGCTGAATTTCGTTTCAGTCGTTCACCATTGCCACGCTTGCGCGCATTGTCCGTGTTCTTCGCACGATTGTGTACAGTCGTTGGAAGTCCTTCGTCTGGTTTCGCTCGCATTTTAATTTCCAATATAGTCCATTTTAACAGGTTTTGGGGGCCTATTTCGTCCATCAGCGGCTTCTGCCTTTCGACCATTCCAAGTGGTCTTTACTAACATGTGGTGGTCACAGTTCTACAGACACTATGTGGCCAGGTTATTGACTCTGGTGAGGGAGAGCCTGTGTCTGTGGGGTAGATACTTCTCGAATGTTGATAATTCGCGATTTCAGAGGATTGGCTTTTTGGGAGAATGTGCAGAAAAGAAAGGTCCTCTGGGAGTATGTGCGGAAAGGGAAGGAAAGGCCTTTTTGGGAGAATGTGCAGAAAGGAAAATATAAGTATCAATTTGAAGATGCCCAACAAAGGATCCGAAGATAAAATAGACTGAGCCCGACCACTAGCACGGAGAGTGGGTGATTTGAGAGAACGCTCGATTCGCTAGTAATTTGTCGCTTATCCTTCCAAATTGTGGATACTCCAGATTACTGCTCATGCTTTCTTGCGTCACCTATTTGGCGCTATGTAAGTGGACGAGGCCACGTTTCGAGAGTAGGGGAGCCGGCGATTACGGTCACGCTTTCCATCTGGATGGTGAATGTGAATTGTGAGCTGATTCATTAGAAGCAAAGAAAAACAAACATGGGAAAGGAATACACTCCACAACACAGATGATCCGTTTCGCTCGGTATCGCAGACGAATCATCATTGTCTAGCCAACCCCCGAGCATCATCAGTGCGATAGGTTGAAGACAAGAGGACATAGACTACATAGGGGAAGGTGTGAGAAATAGGACAAAAAGAGAGAGATTGTAAAAAAGGGGGTAACATGCAAAGTTCATGCATCAAGATGATGATGAATTACACATAATAATGAAAATTATACATAATAATGAAAGAGTGATATAACACGAAGTGTGCTGTAAATACGAGTGTGGAAGGAAGGGAAAAGGAGTAAGCCGGCAAAACCACTGAGAGAATGTTGAGTATAAGAGAAGGTATACAAGAAATAAATCAATTAAAGTATAGTGGAAAGAAGGGAATTAGTGTTGATCACTGCTGCAAATGAGTAAACCTGTGACTAGTCTATTTATCTTTCTATAGTTATTTGCGATTGAGTACTTGTAACTTATAAATTTATTTTTATAAATACACTTAACAATGCTAGTAATAATAAAATCTTCCTCGTAGCCATTTTTCAAGAGAGTGGTGACCATATCCGTTATTTTGCTAACGAAAGCGTTGAAGAACGAACAAGTGTTCGCTAACCTCAAAGTTTCCGTATATATAACAGAGGATTTGTTGATAAGAGAGATATTTGTGTCCCTATACGGAAATCTGATAACACTGAAGGTAAACCTAGAAGGAGGCCGAAGACCAGTAACCTGGCATTGCCGCATGGACCCATCCAACCACGCGGGCTCTCTAATCGCAGTTTTAGCGGAGTAGGAACGTAGGCCTTACGTTATTAGGCAGAGCTTGCACGCGCCACATGCGACTGCTTGATGTGTGAACGCAGCTTGCTCAACTAGTCTCCCCGCGTGAAGACTGCTCAGACATAGCGTTCCTTGCCTTGTTAAGTAGTCTGTCTCAACTCCAAGGTTTAAATCACCTTCGCGGCTTCACAGTAAGTAATAAAAGCGTTCCGGCCCTCATAAGTGGCAGTTCTGACGCCTCCGTAGTTGCCCCGCTAACCGTACGTAAACGGCAATTTCTGCCGCTAGTTCGATTTTTCGATCGCACTTTTCTTCTTCTTTGTTAGGTGGTAGTAGTTTTGAATGACGTGAAGAAGCGATTAGTGGGCCAGAGAAGGCAGGATCCGCTCTGCTGGTATAAAACGAACAGGTACGGCCAATTCATCCAGAGTACTTGAGGTGTCTCGTGGAATTTTTGCGTTTTTTCTTCGTCTCGAGTCGCTAAGCGACTATGGGCTTCGCTGTTGAAAGCTACTACCCACCATATGCGATCGCGGGGTTTGTCTGTAAAAATGCCTCGAAGAGATGCGTTAAGCTGTGGAACAGCTGACATCGGTTTCAAAATCGGTTCAAGCCGCTTATGGCCGAGTACAGCTCATGTCGCGCAGCGCCGCTTCTGACGTTATCTCGACGAACCCGCGATCAGAGTCCTGTGTGAATTACGTGAGCCACAGGTCGCGCGATCACAGACTGTGGATACGGCGCATCTAACTGATAGACGCTAACGATAGGTTGCTGTGCCCATGTCCATGTCTAATATTCTCATATACGCACTAACTAATATGTTTTGTGTGAGTTTTTCCTCGTAAAATGACGTACTCTCTGTTCCTTACAGGAGACGCAGCCGCCGCCGTCTGTATTCGAGAAACTCAAACCGTCGCACACAAGGTATACAATTCTCGACAAAGATGAGCTGTAACAAAGTATTGAGTAGATTTAGTTCTAATGCGGTGGTAATAACTTCTTTATTCTGATTTTAATAACATTGTACGTATTCGTGTCTATATTGCGTCTCTGTTCCTTCCTGACTCATTTGCCTCAGATTATAGCCTTGGAAGCAGGGGGCACGATTGCTGGAGGCGTGCGGTTGTTGCCAGCGTCATTGGTGAAAGGGGTGCGAGAAGGCGTTTAGCTCCGTCTAACTTAGCCCTTCCAGCGATTACGCTGGCAACAACCTCCTGCCCCCAGGGCCAATCGTGCCCACTGCTTCAAAATAGCTGAAAGAAGTGTAGCACACAAATCTGATGTATCGTAGTTCTGGGTTCTAGCAGGTTTGTGCTGTGAATGCTATTACAAGAATACTAGTCAGTATCTGATTGGAATCAGGTGTTTTCTTTGTTGACATGTGGGCTGTGAGTGAGCCTTCTTTCGAATATGCCGAATTACTCCATGATTATAAACTGAATTGTTTTGTGGGTAATATGGTTGGATTTGTGGGTTTTGATTGGTGATTTCTTTATTCGGTAAATAAGCACCAATTGTCTTCTCTTGTTTGCTTTATATGACATTGTTTTCCTTCAGTTTATAATGGAAGACTGTTGTACTCATTGCCAATTTTCTGGCTGTGATGCATCGTGTTTTCGTTGTTGTTTTGCTGGAATAATTTAATCGAATAATTAACTAATTATTTGGTAGATCAAATGAATGTCTATATGTCCCACTATGTTTTGGTTCTTCCATTATTATCGATTCTGTTGCGGTTTTCTGAACGTTCTGTTATTAGATCAAGAGGAGGAAGATAGTTAGAAATAAACGCCAGAAAATAGTTATATGATTTAAATATACATAATGTGACTCGCGATATTTTTGGGGGACATCCTTGGGAGACGACGAAGTCCAGCATGGGTTGGGTTGGTGAACATAGACGTCTCGGCAGCTTGCGCTAAATGCCGGTTTGGGACTCCAGCAATTTCGGCATGCGCGGAGCTCGTTTTTGAAATTGCCTAAGTAACGCAATATGCTAAATTCTTGTATGTAGGGGTAGTTTAAATCCCCTGATTTACGAAGATATGTAATTCACCTCTTTGCCTGGCTGGCGCTAATGGACGACACTAGCGATTTATCTGCGCTCTGTAGGCTCGAGTAGGAGTATCGTGAATGTCATCTCTTGGCGCCAGCGCCAAGAATGAGTGTCATAATTGTAATCACGATGTTAAATAACCCTTGTGTACATTTTCAGCGGGTTTGGTGACTTAGGCAATTTAAAAATGAGCTCGGTGCAGAAACGTTCTGGAGTCCAAACGGCATTAGAGCGCGATGACTTGGCCTAGCAGCTGCCGGCAGATCCCATTTTGTTTTTTTGCCACTTCATTCTGCATAATTTAGGTCGGTACAGCAATCGGAAGTATGCTTCCAGTTGCCCCATATTTCCAGTTTTTCACCCGAAAATTTTGATGTCGAGCGGGAGGAGGGTTGATGTTATACTACCATAAAACAGGAAAAGCCACGAAAAATCAACAACCGGGAAAAACTTCTTTTCCCACGCGGCAGATTTTCTCTCAGTGTGAAACCCTGAGAACCCCCCCCCCGCTTATCGCGTACAACAACCAAATACGGACCCCCCCCGCTCCGCTCAGCGGAAAGGTACGATCGCCCTATGGGTTTCACTAACGATGCTGTGCCCTGTGCGTAATAGGGAGAAGATGGCTAATTATTGAGTATGTGCTCCGGAGCTGTATTTTAAGGGTGGACTAGCATCTAGGTTGCAGCCAGTAGCGGCGAGGGAGGCGTTGCTAATGATTTCACACACGCGGCATTTGCACCAGGCCGCAATTTGCTCAACGTGGCAATGCTGCACTTGGTCAGGTCACCAGCTAGGAACGGCTCTGCTTATTTATTCGCAGTGAGCGAACTTGTATGTGTATCTCGGCCTACACCCATGTTTTTAGAATGCATAAGATCGCTACTTTAGTGGAAGTGGGAGGAGGGGGTGGTGGTGGAGAGGTTCACTATATGAAAGTTGAGTATGTAAGATAGCACGTGCGATGGGTCATTCGCGGCTTTAGGCAGACTCTTAGCGTTGACGCCTTAGCCCCCCAATGTAACTATTGAGGCGAAGGTGGTGCAGTGGCAAGTGCACGCTTAGTACGCTTGCGGTCAGGGGGTCAAATCCAGGGTCGGCTCTCGTTCAAGCCAACCAGCCCAAGCCTTCTACCCTTCGGGGACAGTAAATTGGCACCAGCTTCATTAGGGGGTGGGGATAAGAACACTGACTTGGACATCAACAACTTTTTATTGTATAGGCCACTTCGCATTCAATAAGCCACTACGATTCTAGAATGGAAGTAGAATGAGTGCCGCATCCCAAAAAGGGATTGATCAACGGCGAAAACTTTATCTTTTGAACTTCATTCAAATGCTGCGTAATCCCGATTCTCTTATCTAGGAGTCCGAAGCACAATCGGTTTCCGAACGCGTTCTTGGGCGCTAATTATTCTGCCTTGCTCAGCTCATGCATTTAGTACGACGCGGTCGGCCTCGTTTTCGTTTGTCTTATGAATGGGACTGAATTCTTCTCGGAGAAAAGGAGAAGGGTTTGCTCAAAATGTTTTTGTTCACATTTTCCAATGTGTCAATAACCCGAAAAGAACTTCAAAAGCAAGCAGCTGTAAAACTACTCACTTCAAATTTCTGTTCGGAAACTGATACTATGACACGACTGTCGTGTCATGTGGTGTTCATGAGTGAAACGTGTTTAACCTAGACCTCAAACATCGTCTGAATCTCCTCAGTCCATTGTAAGCCGAATACATACC